GGGATTCTCATGCCCCAGCCTCCCAAGTAGCATGCATCATCACACTCAGCTAAATTTTTTATTTTTAGTAGATACAGAGTTTTGCTATATTGCCCAGACTGGTCTCGAACTCCTAGCTTCAAGTGATCCACCCACCTTCGCCTCTCAAAAGTGCTGGCCTCTCAAAAGCCACTGCACGCGGCCATGAATAGACATTGTTGTTGTTGTTTTATGGAGACGGAGTTTCGCTCTTGTCACCCAGGCTGGAGCGCAATGACACAATCTCTGCAAACTGCAACCTCTGCCTCCCAGATTCAAGCCCTTCTCCTGCCTCAGCCTCTTGAATAGCTGGGATTACAAGCGTGCACCACCACGCCTGGCTAATTTTTGTATTTTTAGTAGAGACGGTTTTTCCACCATATTGGCCAGGCTGGTCTCAAACTCCTGACCTCAACTGATCCACACAACTTGGCCTCCTAAAGTGTTGGGATTATAGGCATGAGCCACTGCACCTGGCCATGAACAGACTTTTTGTTGTTGTTGTTGTTTTGAGATGGAGTTTCACTCATCATGCAGGCTGGAGTGCAATGGCGAAATCTCTGCAAACTGCAACCTCCACCTCCCAGGCATGGTGATGGGCACCCGTAATATCCCAGCTACCTGGAAGGCTAAGCCAGGAGAACTGCTTGAACCCAGGAGGTAGAGATTGCAGTGAGCCAAGATCGTGCCATTGCACTCCAGCCTGGGAGACAGTGTGAGACTCGGTCTCAAAAAAAAATAAATAAATAAAAATAAAAAAATAAAAAGAATACTGTTTAATTATTCTTCAAGGTAAATGGTGAGTAAAAAAGAAAGAACATATTCCAGGAACAGATGTCCAAAGCAGAATTTGTGTCCTCTAACATAAGGCTAAGAAGAAAACATCTGAAAATTTTTATTATCGTGTGGGTTCTATTTATCTAATGAAAAAAACATTATGAATCATTTAAAATGATCTTAGAAAATTAAAAAGAGAAATCCAAATGAAATTCTAGAGAACAACTTTTTCAAATAATTTTGACAGATACACCACAGCATCCACTGGCCTTCAAGTGTCTTTGTCTTCTTCTCATGATCCTTTCAAACTCTAGATACTACAAAACAAAGTAATCCGAATTGTGCTATGTGCATTAAAAAATCATTGTAAATCATAAAAATAATTGTAAAACATAGGAATGTGTTAATCCATAATACTAATATTTGGTTAAACTTTGGAGAAATCTGCTATATTTAAGGACACAGAAAGGCTTCACTAATGATAACTGAAATCAGGACATAGTCAAAGAATCAAAAGAGCAACTTCGGCTTGGCTTCAATAACAAAACATTTAGAAACTTCCTTGGCTATTCCAGTGAGATCTTTCCAAAGCAGAAAACTGGGATACTCAGGAGGCTGAGGCAGGAGAATTGCCTGAACCCAGAAGGAGGAGGTTGCGGTGAGTTGAGATCGCGCCATCGCACTCCAGCCTGGGTAACAAGAGCAAAACTCCGTCTCAAAAAAAAAAAAGAAAGAAAGAAAGAAACAAAACTGGGATACAATATCTTGTTTATTGCATATTAGCTTTAGAAATATCCCCCAAAGACAGGTGTTTGGTGTTGTTTAAAAGAATAATTTTGCATATTAGAATCTTTAAAATTTATATTTATGGAGAAATCTTAGATGTATGTGCATAATTGCAATTCCTTTTTAAATAAGCTTGCTTCTGAAATCAGTAAGAATCTAGGATGGTATAGAATCACTGTGACACTCTAAGTAGAGTTTCATAGAAAGGAAGCAACAGATTTTAGATTTCTTATTTTTCTAGCACTGGCTTTATAGCTAGCACCAGCTGCACCTCTCATATAGCACACTCCAAGCTGCAAACCTACACCCGTTAAAAATTAAGTTCTTCTGCCATTTGATACAACCATCCTACTAATGGGTATATACCACCCCCAAATTAAATCATTATATAAAAAAGATACCTGCACACTCATATGTTTATTACAGCACAATTCACTATAGCAAAGCTACCGTATCAACCTAAGTGTCCATCAGCTGATGACTGGATCAAGAAAATGTGGCAATATATACGACGGAATACTAGTCAGCCATAAAAAATGAAAAAAACGTCTTCTACAGCAACATGGATGGACTAAGCAAAAAAATTCGGAAGTGAAAAGGCAAATACGACATGTTCTCACTAATAAGTGGAGCTAAATATGTGTACACGTGGACATATAAGAGTGTAGAGTAACAGTCACTGGAGACTTGGAAGGGTGAGAGAGTGGGAGGGGGTAAGGGGTGAGAAATTACTTAAGGGGTATAATGTACACTCTTCAGGTGATGGTTACATTAAAAGCTCAGGCTTCGCTACTACGCAATATAGCCACGTAACAAAACTGCACTTGTACTTTTTACATTTATACAAATAAAAAAATTTAGTTCTTTTTTATCTTGGAAAAGTGAATTATCTTTCTGTTTGTTTTTTTTTTTTGACAAAAAAAAAAAAAAAAAAAAAAAAAACTTGCTCTGTGGCCCAGGCTGGAGTGCAGTGGTGCGATCTTGGCTCACCGCAACCTCTGCCTCCTGGGTTCAAGCGATTCTCCTGCCTCGGCCTCCCAAGTAGCTAGGACTACAGGCGTGTGCCACCACATCTGGCTAATTTTTGTGTTTTTAGTAGAGATGGGGTTTCACCATGTTAGCCAAGATGGTCTTGATCTGCTGATCTTGTGATCCGCCTACCTCAGCCTCCCAAAGTGCTGGGTTTACAGGCGTGAGCCACCGCGCCCGGCCCATTTCCAAAAGTTTTACATTGATCCAAGCCTTTACTTAACTGTCATTTTGCCCATTAAAAATATATGAAGGTGAGGACTAAGGTTTTACGACAAAATCCTTTTCCCCTACTAGATCCCAGCTCCTTAAACTGTGTTATAAATGTATGACTACATTTCAATTAATTAGATGTTGAGCTGGAAATGCTAAAAATTCTTGAAAAGCTTGGGTAGATGACTTCAGCACATTCCAATATACAAGCTCACCTGCACACCATGAAAGTTTAAGGTACTAAATTAAAAAATGACAAGGTGATGAACTTCAGCACAGAAAAACAATGCAACACTACACTTGGGCCAGCAGATGGCTCTCTCCAGCCCACGGCATGAACCAAGACGATAATCAAGTGTAATTGTGTGGTCCAATGGACCATTTAAGGGCACAAATCACGAGATTACACCATCAGAATACTTATGTTTCTGTGGAACGGAATAGAGGGATCTAAAAATATATAAAAATCAATGAAAAATAGGTGTGTTACTTTTTTGAAAATTATACTTAATATGCAAGATCTAACAGCACAGAAGGATTGATCTTATTTAAAATGGTAAATAAAAGGATTCTTCACTAATGATCAGGAGGAGAAGAACGTCCAAGTTCACATAGAAAGAAAGTTGAGGAGGAAATGGTAGGTGAGAAAATATAAACAGAGGCTTATCACAAAAGGAAGGAGAGAGCTCAGCACATAAAGAATAAAGGTAAGGCAGGTTTGAGGCATTTTTAGGGGTAAAAAAGGCTTGTACAGGTTAGTGAAGAATATGGGGAGAAGGGCAAAAAACCACGTGTACCTACCACAGCAATGCAATACTGCAAGTCTGTCAAAGGTCAGCCAACTAGCAGGTTAAGAACTCCACTTTGCCGATTAGGATGAACATTAATAAGAGAAAAAAAGGAAAAAGAAAAAGTGATAGAATATAAAAAAAATTCTATCCCAGCTTGTATATAGTAAAGGTCTCACTTCAGGAAACTAAATAGCCACATGTTCAAATATGTGGGCTGGGCCTTAAGGTAACAGGTATTTCCCCCTGTGGGTTCTAATAAAAACATCTGAAAGCTATGGAAATATTAAATGTACCCCCAGTGCCCCACCTCTCTCTCAAGCTAATAATACCAGCTACAAAACCTCCAAAACAGAAATGTAACTGTCAAAGGTGAGATCCCAAAATCCCCGAAGGGAAACGGGGCAAAACATACAACATAATATTTAAAATAAACTATGTAAATTATGAAGCAGAAGTCAGGGCCGAGGAAGACGCCATATGAATGCCATGAGAGAAAAGTCTAACTACCAGATGCGACTCTCAGTCCCATCTCTGGCATCTTTTCCCACCCTGAGTAAAGGGATGCCGAGGTGCTGAAGGGGAGCTGGCAGGAGAGACAGCAAGGCTGGGGACGAGGCGGATGGCAGGACCTACAGCCTCTCTCTGGGCAGGAATTGGTGAAGATCCAGAGATGCGAGTGGAGTGAGGAGAAAGGTAATACATTCAACGTCAAATCCTATCACCAAGTAGAGGACCGGACATGTAATATGCCCTTTTATTAATGTTTGCTGAAGGTGTCAGTAGGTCTCAGTAATGCCAGCAGTTTTATTACAGGAAGTTAGTGACTAAGCAGGAATGATAGTTTGGAACTTCTTCCAAGGTTATCACCTGCCATCATCGGAAAATGAGAGTGCTGCTGCTTTTCACTCCATCCTCACAATCTTTGTGACTGTCAGCCATTTCGGTAGCCACCTGTAAGCTACAGTATGCTCTTCTGGAACTAGCTCTTCAAGAATTTCAAAGAAGTTTGTTTGGTTTCCAACTGGAAACCAGTCTGACACTTAGAAGGTCAAAGACAAAAATGAATGGGTGCTCAAGAACATAGGGTGCTCAAAGATGAAGAAATTTCAATGAGGTTTCAAGGTAAATTTCTCAGCGCCATGATGACAGGCTACACAGAGGCCATGTCAGAACTTGCCAATGATGTTCACGCTTGCTTTGGGTGGAGAGTTAGCTTTTGTTGGGTATTTTTGTTTTGTATAATTGGTTTATTTGGGGCTTATGTACATTTAAAAGAACCTAATAGCAGCACACACCTACATCCTGTTTACTATGTGCCATGCACTGTTCTAGGCATTTACAAAGTTTAACTTATTTAATAAATGTATATAGAACTACTAATCTCAGTTACCTGTTCAGTGGTTTATTCTGTTCCACTGAAAGTATCTCTGTTTCTTCCATGTTCCTCCTGCAAAATATAAAGAGAATACCATTAGTGATTGGCACAAATGCACACAAAATGTTCTACATTATTATTTGCTATTTTCCAAACTTGGAGTGCCAAAAGGGCTTCATTAAACTTTACTCAATTATTTCAGCTGCCTAATTTTACTGAGTTCCTAAATAGAATCTTAAGAAGACATCATTGCTACCTACACAGATAATAAGAGATTTGAAAAACAACTTAGGGCTTCAAGAGAAATGAAGGTGACACAATCAAAAGTTAGATACACAGGGAAACAAATTAGAAGACGACTCTCCTGGAGTTTGAATCCTTCTACATCTGATATGCCTTTTCAAACCGCACTCCCGCTGAAGTTCTTTTTCAGGTGGGCAGTACCTTTCCTTGCTAGGTGAAATAACTGCTGTTCTAAAGATAGAAACGATTGATTTGGTTTTAAAGATTTACTTAAAATTTAAAAAAAAAAATTATAAAGGGAACCCTTTTTCAAATAAGAGGTTATTTCCTCAGAAAAGGTAATTGTTCAGAATCTCTGGCAGGTGACATTTACCGTTGGGAACTCATGAGCGTCTAGGTTCTGTCCCTGAAATCTCTGGCTCCCAAAGTCTCTCTCCCTAAGGTTCCAGAGATGATCAATACCGCTTCATGCTAACAAAGCTCACAAGAGACTGATAAAGCCAAAATGCCCAGGTATTCACTTATAATGAAAAATGTAATTGTCAGATATGCTGGACACTTGCTCCATCCAGTTTGGAAGCCAATAAATCCTAGGCATAAGCACCTCATAGGCAGGCAAAGATGAGGCCACACTCACAGCAGATTGCTCAGTGAGCGTATCGGAGCAGTCGCTACCAGGATGCCAATGGACTCCCAAACAATCTCTCTAGCCAAGCATTCTCCTGCGTGCTCTAGCACCACCATCCTAGTCCAAGCTGCCACTGTTCTTTCCCCTGGACAAACACAGAACACTTCTTGCCGTTTTCCACTTCCATACTTTCTCCCTTCCAATTCACGATCCACAATGTGTCCAGAGTAAACCCTTTGTTTGTCTGTCTGTTTGTTTGTTTGTTTTGGAGACGGGGTTTCACTCCAGCACTCAGGCTGGAGTGCAGTACTAGAGTCACAGCTCACTGCAGCCTCCAACTCCCAGGCCCAAGCAATCCTCCCACCTCAGCCTTCCGAGTTGCAGAGATAATGTACATATGTGCACTACCATGTCCACTCATTTTTTATTTTTTGTAGAGACAAGGTCTTGCTATGTTGCCAAGGCTGGCCTGGAACTCCTGGCCTCAAGCGATCCTCCCACCTCAGCCTCCCGAGTTGCTGGGCTACAGGTATGACCATGCCTGGCACAAAATAAAACTTTTAAAATAGAAAACAGATCGTGGCTCAGCCCTACCTATACTCTTCAGTGCTCTGCATTGGTCTATGATAAACACAGGGTGGGGACTCTTGGCCCTGCCCCCCTCCTTCATGCACCGCTCTCCCTCATCATCCTCTCAACTTCAGCCACACTGGTCTCCTTTCACTCCTATGAATGCACGAGATCACTCAACACCGAAGAGATTTCCCACACCTAATTTTCCCTGCTTGGAAATTAATGCACGTATTCTGCCCTCCCTCCCCCGACATACATGCCTACCCAGGAACCTGCTCACCCTCACTCTAATTACATGATCCCACCACTAGGACGAATTTCCCTATGCTAAGCCCCCAGGACACCTTGACCTTCTTCACCAGACCACTTGGACAGTTTGTAGCTACACGTAACTACGCATTACACGATTATCTAATTTAAGTCTCCATGAGGGTGGACACGGAGCTCATTTTATTATCGTGTTCCCCGGTACTGACTACTCAACAGATACATTCTTGAATGAATGGTGGCTTCGGGCTAACAGAATCTGTTGCATCCATTGCCAGAAACAGGGATAATTCTGCCAGACAGACACAGGGCTCTGCTGAAGAGGATCCACCCACCCAGTGCGCACCCCACCCCTGGGTCACCAGCAATTAGGCGGGCATTGTCTACATTCACTTCTATAAATTTTTATTTCCTATATTCCCATGGCCAAAATAAATCTTCGGATACTAAAAGAGAAAGAGGCACAAAGTTCAAGTCACACTTGGGTAGCAACCCAGCAGAGAGGACTCACGGAAGTGGGTTACTAAGAAACATCATAAACAAAAAGGAAAACAAATTTCAGCCCAAGGAAGTCCTTGATGAAACAACCCTGGTGAGTGGATACACAGACACACACAGACCAAAGCAGTGGCTCTCAGAGGAGGCTGCATGAGAGCCCAAGTTTGCTGCGGGATGCCACCACAGCCAGGGGGGCCAACAGCAAGGCAGTGTGAAGATCCCAGAAGGAAGCCCCACTCCCGGCCCCTCCTCCGACCGCCAGGGCTTGCCCCGCATGCTTGGCACTCAGGAGACCTGGTGTGCACTGAGTGTGCGGTGCGCTCCCATTTGCCTAACAAATCAACACTTAATGGGCATTTCCTAACTCACCACATAGAGTGTTTTCAACAGCTCACAGCTGTGGTTAATTTTTATAAGATCTTGTAACATTTCAGTCTTCTTAGCGATAGGGATGAGAACAAAACTGGAGGGAAGAAACCCCTTAATACACTTGGCTCTAAATTCATATCTAGTTACGGGGTTAGAGAGGGCCAATTTCATTCATCCATTCAAAACTGTGCACTGCAAATAGTGTGCACCTCATTCTAGGTGGTGTGGCTGTGTACCGAACAAGACAAAAGGCCTTTTTCAAGGAGATAACGTTCTGGAAGGAGACTGACAATAAATGCTGAAGTAAGAGATAAAACCCATCAGATGACAATACGTGGTATGAAGAAAAGTAAAGCAAGAGAGGGTGACAGAGAATGTGTGTTTGTTGGGGGTGGGGGCTGGGAGTCAACATTTAAACAGGATGTCCAAGGAAAGCCTCTCTGAGAAATTGCCATATGAGCAAAGATCCGAAGAATGTGGAGAAGAGAGCCGTGCAGACATCTTGGGAAGAGGAGTTCCAGACGGGATCAGCCAGTGCAAAGACCCTGAGGCTGAAGCATGTGGCTTGTCTTGGGGCACAGGAGGGAACAGTAACAGGAGGTGAGATCAGAGAGGTGAGCGAGGGGTTTCATAGGACAGCACTAAAGACCATTGGCTTTTATTCTGAGCGCCACAGAATGCACCTGAGGTGATGCCTGCAACACCCTGCCCTGTGGAATGCTATAGAGGGCCCGGGACATCATCCGGCTATGTTGAGAATAAACTGAGAAGAAGGCAGGTAGGCAGCTAGGCTGGTCACTGGGCTACCGGACAACGCAGAGACAAGACAGCGGAGTGAACCAGGAGCAGCAGCATAGCTGCTTCCGCAGAGCTGCTGGGGGTCTTCACAGAACGTGAGGCAAAGGCCCTGGAGCTAACTTGCGCTTCCCAAAGGGCTGATTTTAGTGCTCTTAATGCTTTTCTCACTAATCATGCTTTTTTAAAAAAATGCTTTTTATTGCATTTTAGGTTTTGGGGTACATGTGAAGAACATGCAAGACTGTTGCATAGATACACTCGTGGCAGTGTGATTTGCTGCCTTCTTCCCCATCACCTATGTCTGGCATTTCTCCCCATGCTCTCTCTCCCCAACTCCCCACCCCCCCGCTGTCCCTCCCCTATTTCCCCCCAACAGACCCCAGTGTGTAGTGCTCCCCTCCCTGTGTCCATGTGTTCTCATTGTTCAACACCCGCCTATGAGTGAGAACATGCGGTGTTTGATTTTCTGCTGTTGTGTCAGTTTGCTGAGAATGATGGTTTCCAGGTTCATCCATGTCCCCACAAAGGACACGAACTCATCGTTTTTGATGGCTGCATAGTATTCCATGGTGTATATGTGCAACATTTTTCCTGTCCAGTCTATCATCGATGGGCATTTGGGTTGGTTCCAGGTCTTTGCTATTGTAAACAGTGCTGCAATGAACATTCGTGTGCATGTGTCCTTATAATAGAACGATTTATAATCCTTTGGATATATACCCAGTAATGGGACTGCTGGGCCAAATGGAATTTCTATTTCTAGGTACTTGAGGAATCACTACACTGTCTTCCACAATGGTTGAACTAATTTACACTTAATTTGGTGGGTTTAAACCTGCTACAGAAGTAATAGATGACCAGGCTGGGAGTGCTGGCTCATGTCTGTAATCCCAAGACTTTGGGAGGCTGAGGCAGGTGGATCACCTGAGGTCAGGAGTTCGATACCAGCCTGGCCAACATGGTGAAACCCTCTCTATTAAAAATGCAAATATTAGCTGGACATGGTGGTATGTCCCTGTAATCCCAGCTACTCGGGATGCTGAGGTGAGAGAACTGCTTGAACCCAGGAGGCGGAGGCTGCAGTGAGCTAAGATTGTGCCACTGCACTCCAGCCTGGGCAACAGAGCAAGAATGTGTGTCAAAAAAAAAAAAAAAGAGAGAGAGAAATAATAGATTATCACTAAAGAGAGTGCAAAAGGTCAAACAAACCAAACCTTTGCATCACATTATAAAAGAACTAAAAATACAAATACTTCTTATACTGGTCACCACCATATATTACTGTGAAATAAGAGATTTCTTCCCTAGCCAAGGAGAAAGATCATTCTATACACCTGGCCATGGTAGTTAACGACTCCATGTAATAAACAGTTTTCCACTTGAAGATCTATTGATACACAGCGGGACAAACAGCAAACAGAAGTACTGTATTCTTAAAATCAAGCTTAGGTCAGCATGGGCTAACCCTGAAATCTCTCAGCTGTGCCAGTTTGAGATTAATGAAGAAATGTTTAGTCCATCACTCATAAAACCACACTTTTCTGCACACGGACTTTCTCTCAGAGAAACCCATGATGATGACATAATGTAAAGTAAAATCTAGGTATAGTAAAATTCTTTAAAAATGAAATAAAGTACCCTTTTTAGTCTCTGCATTGTTAATACCGGGATTTAAAAAAAAAAAAAAAAAAAAAAG